ATTCTGACTGTTTCGTTGGTGTTCATGAGAAAAGCAGACAACAAATTTACCTTAACAAATCCTTGAGCCAGAAAGTGATTTTTTTTTTATCTTATTAAAACCGTTATCGCTGACGGACTTTAAATTCGCCCAATTCTCATAGATTTTATTTTTTTTCTCTTTTAGTTCATAAAGTGCATTTTGTTACTATTTTTCTTTTTTCTTTTTTTTTTGTGATGACCGGTGATATTATATACGAGTCTTTTCTGGGGTTTATCGTCCAGATCAGCACACTTTCAATGGATATTTTTTCGAATGAGTCTCTTTTTTTCTGATATTTGGTAAGATAAGGAAAATATAAAAAATCTTTTGCTTTCAGTCCATATGTACAGAAACAGGTAAACTATTTATTCTATGCGGCTTTCATGACAATCTCATGCATCAAATGACAGACAGGATACTGATGAAACTATATACTCCCCGGATGTATTCACAAGTAACTTAGATTTACTGCAGGAAAACTTGAGGAAAATGGAAAACAACTTTCGATAAAACAAGAAAAATCGGATTGAAACTAAATAAGAAATTATCAAGAATTAACGAAAAATGTCCATTAATTGATGAAACATGGCTGTTCGTGAATGTAACACGAAAATAAATTTAGCAGATTTACAAGGTGTTACAAAAGCTCGATACATAAGCAAAAATTCATATTTTTAAGAAATTAAATATTCAACAATATTTTATTGAAATGGAATATTACCAAAAAAAAAAAAAGTCTTGGATATGATTTCCATGATTTGTGATGCAAAGGTTGATGTGCTTTGCATGATTCCCGTAATCTTAATGCAACAACTCCACATTGCCGTCAATTTAGTACATTCACTCTTTATGAGTTGAATCAATTGTGTTGCATCTGTGGTTTTCATTGAGTACACCTTCTCATTCAGCATACCCCAGAAAAAGAAGTAAATTCTTTCTTTTTTCTACAAAACCATGTCTAACATGTGGAGGTAAAAAAATATAGTTAAAGAGATTTCCTATGTGTCAAGAATTTAAGGACACTTTGCATATTTTTAAGGTTTCAAGGAGAATTTTGAATTTTTTAAGAAGGTTAATTGTGCTCTAATGACTTATTGGTAAAGCACATTTGGTATAAAAGTGGCTAAAATTTTCTAGATTAAAAAAAAGTAGTAATACAGGTGCCTTTTCCGGTCTCGAGTGAATATTTTCTTCAAGACGGCTTTCAATCTTTTACGTATTAAATTTACTTTTTAAACGCAGTGACGTCTATACAAAAATTCGCATGAAATATAAATTTTATACTGATAAAAGAAAAAAGATATATTACAAAATCATGAAAACATCAAATATTAGGTAATCGCTTTTTTCAACAAAGTTATATATATATATATATATATATATATATATATATATATATAAGGAACAATGAAGTCAACACTCATAGGCGACAGGCTGCTTCATGCTAGACGCAATCGTCAGGCCGCGAATGTTGCATTTTTCCTCCACTATTTTATATATATATATGGGTTGGTGATGCATTGTGGGTAATCTATTCTGGCGGTTATTTTGCGGGAGTGACTTGCTTGTTTATTTATTTAATTGTTTAGCTCAATTTATTTTACTTGTTTTTCATTTTCTAGTTTTTATTCTTTTCGTTTTTTTGATATTTTATTAACGTAGTAAAACAATTTTGCTGTGGTGGATTTGCTTAGGTTGCTTATTTAATAGTTTGTTTTTGGTCTGGGAAGATAATTAAAGCTAATTAAAATAACAGCATAGACTACGCCAAGCAATCTAAACATTGAACGAATGAACAGCTTTAATTATCTTCCCAGACCAAAACAAACTATTAAATAAGCGACCTAAAGGATAAATAATACAAGTAAAATAAATTAACCCAAATAAATAAATAAACAAGACATTCCCGCATAAATAACCACCAGATTAGATTACCTACAATGCAACAATGACCCATATATATAATTAGTCTAGGAAAAATCTAACATTCGCGGCCTGACGATTGCCTGTCGCCTCTAAGTGTATATTTACATACACTCTGTATCTGATATTGAGCACTTTATCCCATAAATATAGCATACCTTAAAACTATATTTCTTCATAAATACACACACACACACACTTATATATATATATATAATGAAGTGGATAATTAGGGGTCATTTGTTTGCGATTGAATATGTTAATAGTGTATTTATTTTATTTGTGTCAGGTAGGGGTTTCTTGAATCAATTTTTTTTCTAAATATCGTTATGGCTAATTTTATACTTAGCGAAAATATTGTTGCTTAAGGTTTATTTAACGTTGATAAATAGCCTATACAATTAAATGTCCGAAGAAGATATTATTTTGGTCCGGCAAATTATGTTTTGTATTACAGCCATTTTGTTTCTGTGCGAAGATTCACTTCTTTGTACAGCGAGGTAGTAAAATTATGGTGATTGCCATTGACTAATAAAAGATTAAAATTAACGAAATTTTATTGTTAATATTGACTTCGTAAGCAAAGCCTAGGACAGAATTATGCTCAAAGGTTTCTTTCGTTTTTTTTTTTTAATTTCTCTTAAAATGTTTCGACCGGTGGATCAACTGTATCTAATTTTTACATGTGAGACCTTTTTGAAATAGACGATAAACCTGAAGAGTTTGTTAGGATCATTGAGTATTATGTACCAGTAAATGATGTTCTTACTGACATTTTCATTATGTTTATTATTAGGCAGCAGCTCGTTACGATAAAATACGTTAATGGTGTACTTATTTTTGTTTGAGTCAGAGATGGGTCTTCCGATATTGTTTCTAAATTTCTTTAAGGCTAATTTTGTTTTTTTCGTCTGCGAGGTGCTTAGAGAAGTTATAGTTGATTAGAGTTTGTTTAATGTGTCCAAGTTCCTCATAGAATAATATGTCAGAAACGATTGCTTTGCCTCGGTAAATCACGTTTTTCCTAAAAGTTATTTTTTCAATAATTCCACTAAGGCCCCCCTCCACATTCACACGTTATATCGACGATATATTTAGATTATTAAAAAGCTTAGAAGAAAAAAAAACGGAAAGTAATCATCGAGAATAATTCTTTACCACAATTTACTGAATAAACTTAGTATTAACAATAAAAACCCTTTTCTTGGCGTATTAGTCGATATTAAAAAAAATCAAACAGACAGGACGCGTCACTTCTCTTAAATTATATATATAGATAGCCTGTTTTCCTATAATATGGCTCATCAATGTGGCTAGACATCCAATTGCTTCAAGCTAGGATTGAAACTCAACTGATTTGGCATCAGTCAGAGACTCCACCCCTAAGCTATCAGTGCAGGTCAGAGAATGAAAATCTCTTAACGTATTATATACATGATGTCTATAAAGGCTAGACCAGCAGCCAGAATGCTCAATTCTGGTGAAGAGCTATGCATTAAGCAGGAGGAGAAGCAGTTAAACATTCCCTTTGTCCATAGTGTTCAATCGGCGAACAAGAGCATATTCATCCACAGAGAGCCTGTTTCGTTGTATCACAGCTCATCAGTGTGACTAGACATCCGATTGTTTCAAGCCGGGATCGAAACGCGACCGATTTGGCATCAGTCAGAGACTCTACACTTAAGCTATTTATTTAGAGAAAGGGAATCGTTTAACGTATTGGGAATATATATATAAAACGTGTATATATATATATATATATATATATATATATATATATATATATATATATGGGGTGGGATAAATAACAAATATGTAACGTTCATTTATTTATTAAATTTACGAAAGTCTTCTATAAATGTTTGTTTATTAAATTTATAAACGTTTCTTATTTGTTCTTCATCTTCTAAGTGTCTGTTGTGTGTGTATGTGTGTGTGTTTAAAAATTTGTTGTGTCCAAAATTTCACAGCGTCATGACTGTGGGAATGTGACTGAACACGAGATATATAGCCGGGGCACCAGACCAGATATGCCGGCGATATTCAAGGCACGAACTAATGGTTTGATTCATAAATGTGTAACATTGATCCAGACCCAATAAAAATTCACTGACAAGATACAGTGAGTCAACATTCCTAGCAACATACTTAGCAAATATTTTAAGTAGAAAATATTTTAATATTATGACTTCAGTTTATGTCAGTAGAAAACGTGTGATCAAGATGGCACAATACGGTGTTCCCTTGGTGCATGGCATCAACCATGTTCATGGAGGACAGAACATGGCCACTATATTGATGGTAGATCGTTTTGGAGGTGTTGATATATTTAAGCCGTTCTTTGTTTTCAGGTTAACAATTGATTGGAGGTATTTTCGAGAGCAGTTCTTACGACGTTATATATATATATATATATATATATATATATATATATATATATATATATATATATATATATAGATGAACATATAGATATAGATCTATAATCTCTGATTTGCTACTTCCCTGTTCATGTCGTGACATAATAAGACATTGTAACGATCACTTTCATAAATCGTAATACAAAATATATTTCTAGAATTTTTTATTATTTTTTTTCAATTCAAGGACTTGCAATTAAAGCCCCCACCCCCACCCTCACTTGGTTTCATCGGAGCTCAAAAATTTAGTCCAATTTATGGTTTTCCACAAAAATTTTTTTTTTTACAGTTCGTCGTATTTATAATTAAATATTTTAGGGAAAATATTTCTTCGTAAAATTTCATTCCCAAAAGTTACGCGTAAATTGCCTCAGTTTGGCTTGAAAAAAAGTTACTGAATTCTCCGAACACTCGCAAAATCCAATAAATTTTAATTTATTCAAAGTAAAATTAATATTTCGAAATATTTTCTGAATTTGTTATAAGATTGTTCTCTTATTAAGTAGAGAACTTACTCAATAAACCGAACGAATTTTGCGGGCAACCCAGTATAAATGCTAACTGAATGTACGATACCCGACCATAAAGATATAAATCCGAGTTTATTTGAGGTTAAAACTCTATTATTATATTTAC